AAATAATAAAAGTTAAAATTTTTGAGAATTTTTTAATTATATTATAATGAATGACTAAAATTATATATTATTATTATTATTATTAGCTTTTGCTGTAATAATAAACTTAGCATAAATAATTACATTTCTGTCCCATGATAAAATATTCTGTAAGGGTGACAAATATAAAAACTCATATTGACGTACTTTATACTATTATATTAATAATACAAAAATTATATTATTGATATTAATAAAGATATCAGTGATATACTTTATATTAATAACATGAATGAATTTTATTAATGTTAGAAAAATATCATGGGGGAAAAATATTATACATATAAAGACCAGTTTTACAATCCATTACAAATTTTCTTACTATTAAGTTTCCTTATTACGTGCTATCGAAAAAGAAAAACAAAAGTTTCCTGTTATTACGTGGCTTTATACACTATTAAAAGAAAAAATCGGGTTAGCGAAAGCGAAGGTGGGGCCCTGTCGGGGGTGAAATGGACTCGCGATTAATTGGAATTGGAAGGTGCAGGCCGCCGAGTTTTTCGGCGAATAATTTTAACGGTAACGAGTGACGGCTGTTTGTAGGAACGGAATGGAAGTTATTATGTTGAGTTTCCGTCAGCCGTTTGGAGAACCACTCAAATCAAACTCTACCCAATCAATTTTTATAGTATCAATTATTTCATAATTTTCCTTCTTTTTTTTTTTTAAATATCTACTCAGTTGAATAAAGTAAAGTAATCTTCTTCGTTTTATATGTTTTAAATTTTTCGAGCTCTTGAGTATATTTGTTTTGTTACAGAGAATTTGATTAACTTTTTAAAATCATTTGAAGATGTATTTTTAGGTTTAAATTTTATTAAGCTTCTTTTGACTTTAAGTTTATTTTATTTAGCTCTATGAGATTTTAAAATTTTTATGTTAATTCATAAACTTTAAAAAAAAAAGTTATTTGTTATTTTATTGTTTAATAGATTAATAACATACTTTAAATATGCCTATTAATTTAATGATTTAGATATTGAGTGAACAAATTTTAAATTTTAAAATAATAGAAATATCAAAATACAATCAACCAAACAGTGTGAAGAATGATTTAAAATTATGTTTTATTAGGTTGTTTTCATTTGTTGCTATATTCGTAACAATTTATAAATATAACATGTTTAGACCGTGAGTTCAACTATAACAAAATTCATTGTAATCAATAATTATCATATTATAAATTTTACGAAAAACGAAAGAAAATATAACACTACTACTATTATTCAGTTTTGTACTATATTCTATTCAAAAGTCATTTGTAAAAATTACAATTTCAAATAAGTTAAAATATTTTTTTAAATTAAGTATCATGACATAATGCGCACGTGCAAGCGACACGCATGGACATATATTATTAATCTTGTTGGACCCATAAATTTGGTGGAGATTTGTTTGTTTGCCTTTTTCATTTAATTCAGAACTATATATATATATATATATATATATATATATATATATATATATACATACATACATCACGCTTTTAATTATCATATTTAGAAGGAAGAAAGGAGGAGGAAACATAAATAAAACTTGCCCAAACCTCAAAAGGAAAATATATAATTTTTTTCTAAAATTTCTTTAACCATATGATCGAAATTTATCCTCGTCACAAGTAAATTAATTATGCAATTTATGTAACACTTTTTTTTTTTTTTCGATTTCAACCTTTAACTAATTCAATAGTCTTAAATACTCAATTTCTTTTAATAAAATTAAATAATCATTTTTCTAGTGCAAAATTATTGACGCCCCTACATTTTATATACGTATAAGTATAATTCTATCTCAAATTTGCATTGGAGTATTCAATTTAGTCTTTTAAATAAAAGAAAATTGTAACTAAAATTTTGATATGTTTTTTTTTTCCTTGAGAATTAATTAATGAGAGAACAAAATGGTTAGTAAGTGTGTTCAAATATGGAATGTCTCTGGTCTGTAAATGGGGGAGATATCCTATTTAGTGACGTTCATATTTCTTATTTTCGTTTTCTTTTTTTCAATCAACATAACTACATTTGGTGGTAGGTAATTTGATCTTTGATTATGTTGTTTCCAAAATTTCTACAAACTTTTTGAAATGTCTTTTAAAAACGAAAAACATGAAACAAAAATAGTTACCAAACATTTATGGCTTTCAAAAATTGGAAACGATAAACAATTAATTTAAACTCGAGGAGGAAGAAAAGAGAAACCACAAACACCCTCATTTTCTATCCACTCAAAAGGACGACTCTCTGACAACTATTCATTTACAAAGATGTCGTTTTTGAATGCTACTACACACGATGCTATGCTACCACTTGTTGATATATAAATGTGACTTTTTGTTACATTTTAATTAGTTTATTTTTCTACAGTTTCTAAGTACTGAAAAGATAGAGATAATGGTTAGTCCCATCATTTATTTACGAGTCAACATTATTATAATCTTATATCTAAGTATGTATTACATAGCACATAATCATATGGGTTGAAACTCAGAAAGAAGCTGCTATGTGACCTTTCCCACATGGTATGCTTGATCTTTTGTGTCAAATCAGTTTTTTTTTTCTAACAATATATATTGAAAAGTTGTATTATTATTTCTATCATTTAATTTAAAGTTTATATACCTCTATATAGAGGAACTATAATAAAAGGTAATATTAGAAATTCAATGTTTTAAATTATTTGCTCTTCAAAATCAGCAAAGTCTTACGGGTTGATTTTGAAGTACTATTTTGTTTAAGAAGGAACAGTACATAGTTGACTTTAGGGTAAGAAAAAAGTCCTTCATATTTTAAGTAATTTTAAATTTAGTCCTTAAATCTTTTAGAATTTAGAATTTTACCTTTAATGTATTAAAAAAATCTCAGTTGTCATGTCGTCAAAAAAAACATATTAGAATTTTGTCATTAAATGATTGTTTTGTGAATATATTTAGACATTTGGACGTATGAATTGGACATGCATTTTCTAAAAAAATATATGTTAATATAACAATAATTTAATAATACATCAACTTTTTTGTCAACAACATTTAACAAAATTTTTAATGAAAACTCTTTACTACATTAAAGATCAAATTATTTAAAAAAAATTAAGTAACAGATTGAAAATTACCAAGCAGAAATAGGATAGGGTACTGATGATCAATTGGCATGAATGTGAGGCCTATTGACTTCAATGTCTCTTCTAATAACTTACCTTTATGTTATCTTTCAAAATGAAAAGTAAAAATATTTGATAAATTTAACTCTTAATTTCGAAAAAAGTAGATGTCATTTAACCATCGGATTAGACTATATATATGTATATCGTTTAACGGAGGACAAAAAGGGAGTAGCTTTTTACATCATTTTAAATA